TTGTTAGAGGGGGCCAAAGAGGAGGCCAGGAGGGGGACGGGGGGGGGCCAAAGAGGAGGCCGGGAGGAGGACGGGAGGCCCCCCCGAGGTAATTGTCCCGCAAAGGATCCCAGTTTGGAGTGAGCTGGTCAAGGTTAATCTCCCCCCCCCCCCCCCCCCCCCCGGATCTCATAAGAAGTACCCCCTCATGACGTTCGCAAACCCCAAATCGTAGGTATCTCACCTCTCCGAGTGATCATCCGATTTGTAATTGCTGCCCCTTTTTAAGACTATATGAAAATCTGAGGGGAGCCTGATATGCTAGTGATACAGTGTTTTATTACCCCCTACCCTCCGTGCTATGTTCAAAAGAACCTCACCAGTACCCCTATACCCCTGCCCTCAACATATCCCCATCCAAGTTCTCAGTACCGGTAATTGGTTAGATCAAAGTACCGGTATATTTAAAGGATATCTCACCCCCTACCCCACCTTTCTCGAGTGCCCTCTGTCGAAAAACACCACCCCATACTTTGGAGACTACCCCACTGGTTCGAAACTCTACTCCACTTGAGTTTTCTCTATCCCATAGCTATGACTTGTTCTAATTATTCTACTAGTGAATTATGCCTATCCTTCATACATTTACCACCCTTCGCTTCTGATCACCCCCATCAGGAACACCCCCACCGCCGTCCATGGCTACACCCTACCCCTCCCCTCTCTGAGGGCTTTCCCGCTCCTCGCATGCTCTTCTCCCGCCAGGCTGACGCTGTTCGCTTCTATCATCCGCCTCCTGCCGCCTCCTCTTGCTTCCTCCTTCTCCAACTCTATCTCACCTCCTCCCTCATCCTCCTCATGAACTTTTCATCTTCTCCTCCTCATACATCCTCTTGATACACATCTTCATTGTTTAATCAATACATCGGTATAGGTGTGCTTCTGGTCTCTTGATTCCAGGCTTCTTTCCCCACGTGTCTTCCTAGATGTCTCGCCTTGCAACTTAATGATGTCATTGTCTGTTATCTGCTCCACTTCGTGATGAGCATCATGCTTTTTTTTTTTTCACAAGCAGTGTTTCGCTTCGCCTCAAACCTGATTGCTTGTCTCTACCATGCAAATCTTGTAAATAGATATGATGTCGCCATGGTCGTTGTCACTCTGGTACTGACCCAGTGGATCTTTGACTGTTGGAATTGTCGGGTGTGTACTGCTACAACAGCTTCGATTTGATTTACCCCAGACATGTTTACTCTATTGAACGATGTTTTTGTGAGGATCCACACATCATACTCGCATATGTTCATCTTGTCTCAACATTTCATGCTTTCTTGTCACACACATGTTGCTTTCTTCCCATTCAGCTCATCCTTTCTTTTGAGATACTTATTTTCTTCATAGCTGCCGACGAGGAGGACCTTCACCCGACATGTTCTGTTGATTTTCCAGGTTTGTTGCGCAGCAGACGGATAAGATTTGATCTGTGCAACAACTCTTTGGAGGTTTCTCCGCATTGATATTTCACAATGGATGATTTTATGGACGATGACGAAATTCGTCAACCAGATACCTGGGAAATTATTCGAAAATATTTTGATGAAAATGGTCTAGTCCAACAGCAAAGAGCTTCTTACAATGAGTTCATTCTACAGAATGTCCAAGAAGTCATTGAAGACTACAAAGGACAGATTGAAGTCATTGCTACTCCGCAGTACAAGCCAGGCACAAAACAAGATTACAAACAGAAAATTCAGGTTGACTTTGGTAGAGTCAGGATCGCGCAGCCCAACATCACTGAGGTGGAGGGCAGAAAAGAAAGATTGCTTCCTTACATGGCCCGTTTGCGAAAGTTGACCTACTCATGCCAACTCTTTGTGGACATCACGTTGAGAAAATACAAGGTAGCGTCCGATGGATCCGAGCAGCTGGATAACATTGATGAGCATGAGAGGGTTCCTTTAGGTAAAGTTCCGGTTATGCTTCGATCTGAAGTTTGTCGTCTTTTTGGGAAATACAATAAGGACATCATGGACCTGAAGGAGTGCCCTCAAGATCAAGGAGGATATTTTGTTATCAACGGCAGTGAGAAAGTTTTGCTGGCCCAAGAAAGAAGGGCTAATAATCTTGTTTTTGTTTTCAAGAAGACTCTTGGAAAGTTTGCATATGTTGCAGAGGTTGGAAGTCAGGTGGAGAAAGGAAACAAACCACCTTCTACTCTCTACATGAAGTTGTGGAATAGAGAAAACAACGCGCGATTTGGTGCTTCAGTTGTGCTCACACTGCCATATGTCAGGAAAGAGATCCCGATCGTGATCGTTTTCCGAGCTTTGGGTATTGAGAGTGACCGTGAAATTCTTGAGCATATCGTTTACAACTTGAAGGATGTCCAGATGATGGAGGCATTGAGACCGTCGCTTGATGAAGCAGCTCAGGGCAAAGATCTTTCAACTCGTGAAGCGGCTTTGGATTACATCGGTAGGCGAGCCCTCGGGATGACGACTTCACGTGAAAATCGTATTCAACATGCACATGATATTTTGATTCGTGAGTTGCTGCCTCACATCGGCATAACAGAAGAATCTCTCACTAAGAAACAATACTTCCTCGGTTATGTCTGTAATCGACTCCTGGCATGCTCTCTTGGCAGGAGGCAACCCGACGACCGTGACCACTACGGTAACAAGCGTGTAGATATGGCTGGTCCGCTTCTTGCCGGACTTTTCAAAGGGTGTTTCAAGCGCCTCGTGAAGGAATTTCGGAAGTCACTTCAGGATTCTCTGGATAATGGAAAGGAAGTCAACATGAACACAGCCTTCAAGCAGGATTTCATCACCAAGGGCATCAAGTACTGCATGGCAACTGGTAATTGGGGAGTGGGCAAAGCTGCTGTTGCTGGTCAAGCCACGCGGACTGGAGTGAGCCAGGTGCTCTCGCGTTTAACATTTGCAGCCGCTCTCTCTCATTTGCGAAGAGCCAACACACCTATCGGTATTTACTTCCATTCAATTGAATGTATTTCTGATGATTGTAACAGGCAAGGAGGGGAAAATTGCACAACCTCGACAGCTGCACAACACACAATGGGGTGTCGTTTGCCCAGCAGAGACTCCCGAGGGCCAGGCGTGCGGTCTGGTCAAGAATCTTTCCCTCATGACCTACGTCTCGGTCGGTGGCGCATCGCAAGTCATAATCGAGCTGCTTCAGGCTGGAGGTATGGAAGAGCTCGAAGAGTTGGCATCTCCAGCTATCTGTGCCAGCTCGCGATTTAGCAAGGTCTTCGTGAACGGTGTCTGGGTGGGCATGACCGACGATCCCGACAACCTCGCGAACACGCTGCGAGAGCAGAGGCGTGAGATGACGATTGGAGGCATGATTCATGAGGTCGGGGTAGCAAGAGATATTGGGGAACGTGAATTGTTCATATCCACAGACTATGGACGTCTGATGCGTCCTCTGCTGATCGTTGACAAAGAAACAGGATTTTTGAACTTGAAAAGATCGAACATCATCCACATGACACAGAACGAGCAGACGACTTGGTCTGAAATCTTGCGTAAGGGCTTCATTGAGTACATCGACGTGATGGAAGAGGAGACTTGCTACATTGCCATGTTGGTGAAGGACGTTGGCAGCAACGACCTCTACCAATATACTCACTGTGAGATTCACCCGGCAATGATCCTCGGTGTTTGCGCGAGTATTATTCCTTTCCCCGACCACAATCAGTCTCCTCGTAATACTTATCAATCTGCTATGGGCAAGCAGGCTATGGGCATCTATGCCACCAATTATCAGGTATTACACTCTGCATTAGACTCTCTGCTTCTATCGCGTTTTTTGAATTTTTATGTTTCCTGCCTTTGAATTATACCGGTTCTGATTATTTGTGATCAGGTTCGAATTGACACTTTGGCTCATGTATTATATTATCCACAAAAACCACTTGTCAAGACGCATTCCATGGATTATCTCAAGTTCAGAGAGTTGCCAGCAGGGCAAAACCTCATCGTGGCAATCGCAGTATACAGTGGATACAACCAAGAGGATTCTCTTATTATGAGCCAGGTACGATGCTTCTTCCTAATTTTTCTAGCGCTGATTGTGCATTGCAGTCATCAATTGATCGAGGGATGTTCCGTTCAATGTTTTATCGCAGCTACACAGACGAGCAGAAGACTGAGGGAGTTTTGTGCCTCGAGCAGTTCGAGAAGCCGCAGAGAGAAGAACTTGGCAGCGCAAGCTCGAGGGTGAATTACGACAAGCTCGATGTTGACGGCCTGGTGTTCCCAGCGCAGAATGTTGAGGACAGGGACATCATCATCGGCAAGACCACCCTTGTGACCAACTCTGATGACTCGGACCAGGCGCAGATCGCAGTGAAGAGAGACTCTAGCACTCGCCTGCGCCACAACGAGCACGGAGTTGTCGACCAGGTCTTGCTCACGACCAACAGTGACACTGGCCAGCGATTCGTGCAGATCAAAGTCAGGGCTGTCAGGGTGCCACAGATCGGCGACAAGTTTGCGTCTCGCCACGGGCAGAAGGGGACCGTGGGTATCACTTACCGTCAGGACGACATGCCCTTCACCTCAGAGGGGGTGAGCCCGGACCTCATCGTCAACCCTCACGCCATCCCATCCCGCATGACCATCGGGCATCTCATCGAGACCTTGCTGGGCAAGGTTGGATGTTTGACCGGAGACGAGGGAGACGCGACTCCCTTCAACGAGGTGAACGTCAAGGACGTTTCTGACATGCTCCACTCTCGCGGGTACCAGCGACATGGCAACGAGCGGCTCTACAACGGCCACACTGGCCGTCCCCTCACCGCCCTTGTCTTCTTCGGGCCCACCTACTACCAGCGTCTGAAGCACATGGTGGACGACAAGATCCATTCGCGAGCTCGCGGCCCGACGCAGATGCTCAACCGGCAGCCCATGGAGGGACGAGCGCGCGATGGCGGCTTGAGGTTCGGCGAGATGGAGCGAGACTGTATGATCGCACACGGATCAGCCAACGTGCTCAGAGAGAAGCTGTTCACGCAGTCGGACGGATACATGACGCACATCTGCCAGGATTGCGGACTCATTGCCATCGCTAACCTTGACAGCAACCTGTACCGCTGCCCTAACCAGGCCACTTGCAGGAACTCGTCGGTTGGTCTTGTTCTGCTCGTTTGCTCGATGACTCATTCGTTGCGACAGATCGGGATGATTGAGATTCCTTATGCAGCGAAATTGCTGTTCCAAGAACTCATGGCAATGCAGGCGAGTGTCCTTGTTCGTGATGTTGTTGATGAGGTGGAACACGATTCATGATGGTAGAGATGATGGTGGTAGACATGGTGTGGTTGTTTCGATTATGACACAAAGATGACGATGGTAAACATGCTGATGATTTCTTTCAGATTGCTCCAAGGCTCATGACATCTCTTCCGGGCAACTGGCGACTGTATGACACCTGAGGGTCCTTACGATCGCCTTTCAATTCGAATCGATAAAGCATCAAAGGGAGGACGACTCTCTCTGTTCCTCTTTCTCTCAATCTCTCTACCCGCGGTCATAAAGGAAAATCTTCTAGACTTTCGAGTAGCCGATCGCTCCGACAAAGGCACGGGCGTGTGCATTCTGCTCCTGCAGGACCCTGTTAGCCATAAGGCTCCTCCTCCCTCTCCACTTGCCGCAACGAAGATTTTCTCGGAGCACGGCGGGCCTGCACGAATCTCCAGGTCGAGGGTGTAGTCAGTGACTCCTCCGATGTCGAAGGCGTTCTTGATGCCCTGGAAACAGAGCAGAGGACGTGGAGATCCAGAGAGAGAAGGGAAAGGGCAGGGGCGCGGAGAGATGGGAGGGAGCAGGTGGATGCGAAGGGGAGGGAGGAGTGATGGGAACGAGTGAGAAGGAGAGGGGGAAAAGGGAGATCAACATGTCAGATCGGCTGATCACGAGCCGAGCTTTCATCCTCCTCCTCTATCACCTCCGGCCCAAATCCTCCTCTGAGCACCAGGCCGAAGGGAGAGTCGGTATAAAGCAGGATCCCGACAGTTTCGCCATCATCCAAGGGTATCTGCAGGCGACACGAGGGAGCGAGCGTGAGTCAAGAGGAGGATGTCATGTCCATGGAAGACAGCAGGACAGTCGCTCACGGGTTCATCAAGAGGGAAAGACTTGTAGAGCTCCGTCTTGATCGTGAACTGCCAGCACGTTCACAAACAATCGGCTAATCGCCCAGGAGTGGGTCGAATTTCACCTCTCCCTGCTCGAACTCGATCACGTTCATCACTTGCTTTCTCTTTCCCAGGCACTTCCATGCAGAGGGATCGTTCTCGTTCCCTAGAAAGCTTCCTTTGGTGCACTTCCAAACCTGAAGGTCCAGCTCGACATCCTGGGCCAAGCTAGACGGGAAAACGGTATCAGGGACCAAGGGCAGGGAGATCAGGGCGGGCAAACCTCGAACATCCCGACTGAATGTCATGAATTTTCAACTTGCCGGACTTGCTTACAAGGTCAAAAAAGACTCCGTACCTGAAAGGCATCTCAACATCTCAACACAACTACTTCTCTACACTGAGTGAGTTTTCAAAGATCGCACCAGCAGTTTGACGTTCGTGGCCTAGTGATGAGCAGCTCATCAGCCTGCTGACTCATCTTCATCGCTCTTCCTCCTGACCGCACGATCGCTGGCCTGGTCGCTGCATAGCGCCAGGGAGCAGAAGGTATGATGCCTGGCCTGCACCAACATAGTGAGGTGCAACCTTTCAAGTGCAGGAGCAAGTGAGGATCAGATAGCAGGGCAGAGATCGAGAGGCAGCTGGCATGTACCTTGATGATGCAGCAAGGCAATTATCAGCTCGAAACAGTCCCGCTGGGGAGCAGAACAACATCGTTCCTCTCCTCAACGAGGAGTCGGAGGAAGAGATCGGGATCTGAGCCCGTGACGAAGGGGAGGTAGACAAAGGCATGGAATCAGGCGATGGGGAGTGAAGGAGTCGACAAGAAGGAGAGGAAGAGAAGAAGCTGGATGAGGAGGAGGAGGACGCAAGAGAAGCCTCTGCCATCCCCAACCCCAGCGACATCAACAGTCCCACTACCCGCATGTGCATGATGGCCCCCGATACGTCCGGGCGATTGGGTCGGAGCGGGGATGAGGATGCTGAACCTTGCGGCGGCGAGCCGCGGCCGGTCACCGGGTGCCGGGCGGCCGGGCTCTGGGGACGGTCGGACCCGGCCGTACTGCACCGTGACGGACCGGCCGGGACGAACTTGCCGGGCACTGCATCAGACTGAGAGTGTCTGTTGCCAGCCTGAGTCGGAACGCCGCTCGGAACGAAGTTGCTCCTTGACAATCAGTGGGACTGAGTTCACGGTTTCCGACTGAGTCACAGTAGCGCCGGGCGACTGCTGTACGGCCTTCACAGACGGTGATCGAACAGTGACGGTTGAACTTCTGAAGCCTGACCGTCGGACCGTACGGTCCGGCCGGCGGTCAGCAACCTCGGACTCGGGCTACTAAGGCTAAGTCGGCGTCCAAGCAGCGTTTTGTCGAACATCACTGAGATTCGGTTTTATTCCGATGGTGTAGCTCGCCAACAGAACTTCACTCAGCACACGGGGGACTGAATGGTGAGTTCGATGTCAATTTCTTTACTCAAATCACAAAAATTTCACACTATTCATAATACGTCTACACAATGTCTCAATTTTACAGGCATGCAAATCGTTCGGAGCCTACTTGCGTCATCAAAAAGAATAAAATTCTCTCCAAACTGGAGATTACATTGTCGTCAACTTTGCTGTGAAGGACCCAATACCCCGGAAAGATTTGGGCGCGTCGGCTGTCCAAGCAATATTCTACACATTGTACACTTGTTCTATCATCAAATCAATCCTTCCACCAGATTATGACTGGAATTCTGGGTACAGTCCAAGTTGGAGTTTGGTATAAACCTTTCCCGAAGCATCAAATTCTGGTTTGTACTCGTGGTTCTGGCGTCTCCTGGTCTCAAAAGGTCCAGCACGCCTAGTCCTAAGTCCAGTGTACCTGTCCGTTCTGGGCGTGAGAGTGGGGCTTTGCTGTTCAACATCATCCTCCTTGTCAAAAGCCCAAAAGAAGTCCGTTTCCACAAGATTCTGCCTAACTGATACAGTTCTCCTGAGCCTCTTGCCCTTGCCTGACGACAAGCCACCGTTCATTTGGCAGACGTTGTTGTTTGATCCCAATGGCGAACCAGCTGGCGAAGGAGAAGGGGAGGTGTTTGCAGTACATGGTTCTGCCGGCGGAATGTTGGATGGATCCAAAATGACTCTCCTCAGCGCATTGCTCGAGCTGTGCGCAATGCTCATAGCATAGCAAGGAAGGCAAATGATCAAGAAGGCCAGGCGAGAAATCCGAACCATCTCAAGAAGAGAAGGCTAGACAGTGGAGAGCACCAAGTCAATATTCAACTACGTCCTGACAATTTTTCAAGTTTGTCGAGGACAATAGGTCACTTCACAGGTGCGATGCACGTCACGTGAACAAGAGCAAAAGCTAGAACGTGCAAGTTCTGGACTTCAAGAGCTTAAGGAGAGGACTGGGCCACAGGTGCAGTTGTGGAGGAGCAGTGATATGGAAGAGGGAGGATGGGGAGTCGTATATATAGAGGAGGGCCTGAAGAGCAGGGATAGGGAAGAACAAGGAGCAAGAGCAGGACGTGATAAGGCGGAGGGGGCGGATGGATGAAGAATGAAGGATGTGGAGTACCCCTACCCCACTACCCCATTTTATAGGACCCTACCTTTTTCTGATACGCACACTGATACCCACCCTCTGGTCCTCTTACCATCATGAAGTACCCTACCCTTGTACAAAAATAATCAGAACCACCCCAGTAAAATTCATGATCCCCTACATTTGACCAATCAATGACCCACCATTTTGTGAGGATTTCTTACAAAATAAAAGATATAACCGGTAGTAAGATACTCCACCCACCCTTTGAAAAACAGGACCCTCGTGTGCGACTAGCATGTAAAGAAGTACTCTTATTGGAATGACCCATCCCCCTAGGACAGAAGTCATTGTCTGTAAGGGGGGGTCCATGCCAACACTACAATTATTATTGTTTGCATTAGGTCTCGAAGAATAAGGTCGTATGTTGGGGTGGGGGTGCTTTTCGTATTACATTACGGGTACCTCAGACTGCTCCAACAGGGGTACTGAAAGACAGGTAACCGTCTGCTTTCGCGGAGGGGTGACTGTCGTGGTAGGGTCTGTCAATCAGCCATACCTTGGGGGTAGGGTGTGTTTGAATCAATGAATGGGGTGTTCATACCCCGCAGGAAACATGAACCGGTACTTTACCCTGATATTTATGGGGTAATTTCGGTATCTTGTTGGTGGTTGATTTCACAATTGTATTTGGGGTGGGGGTTACGACATGAAAAAGTGGAGGTGGGGGGGTTGCAGCATCCTCGTCCCTACGACCCGTGGATCCCCTGAAAGACAGAGTGGTCGTAGCAGCCAGAGGCTATAGGTCAACGTTTCTCTATGAAACTCAATAAGAAAATCTAGGAGAGTGAAGAGAACGAGCGAAGGGGGCGATTCTAGGGTGGAAAATAGTGCCAATGGGGGTAGGGTGAGCCTGTGTTGTGCCCTCTTACTGTTGGTGGGTAGGGGTTGTCCAATGGTTGAGATCATGAAGGTGGTCTGAGGGGGAGGGGATCTGCTGCGACTGCATCAAGATGGTCGATTTTATAGCAGGAGCAATAGCAAGATTTAGTGAGGGGTCAAGGATGGCAAAGGAGGGCATCCAGGTGCAGTGGGGTCTCCATGCCAGAGTCGTACCCCATGCAGAAAGACCCTACCCTCTATTGAAGGGCAATTCTTGTGTCAATTGAGGGGTACATATGGGATCACATCAAGCACCCACCCTATCACAAAAATCCATGTTCACCATCCACGATCACCGTCGCTTCCACCCCCACCCCTCCCTGAAGGAGTCAGCTTTCATGCCACGTTGACCCTCTGAATCTCATAAATTCTTTCGAAAAGGAGGAGTTTGAATCGCTGGGGTCGGAGCTGAGTCGTATCTTGAAACCAAAAGGAGTCTTATCAATATATTTGTGACTGAATCTGTTATCTGGTCTGATCTCGTCGAAACGATGTTATTTTGGATGTCAGGCCTTATGCGGTTGCAGAAGGCTGGGATCTGGGGTGTTGAAGATTCCGACATGTCTCTAAAAGTATTTACAAATGCAACGAATCGCTTATACTAAATTGTAACACGGAACGAGGTCACGTTACCCTAAAACCACTTCATTCTGGGGCGGGCTAGGACAAGCCGGAGGATGCAGGGAGGATGAGGGAGATGAGCTGGTGGATTGAGTGGGAATGAGGGTTGGGTCGCATTAGTCGCAATGCGAGGACTTTCATTACCAACAACGAATCATCCCCGCGATCTTCTTGCCTCCTGTTTGCACAGAGGAAACTTGCCAAACGTGATTGCAAGTTTCAGCACTACATGTTGTGTTGTGCTACCATGTAACATTTGAGTTTCTGTGCAGCGCACAGTACTTGCGGCTCTGACCCCTCCCTAAGAAACGAACATGCTTGTCACAGCCTCCGGGAAAGTGGCAGCTAGGTGGAATGTCAGCGATTGCGGCGAACAAGGGCAGGGGCACGTGTGGACAGCAAGATGGACGTCGTCGACTGACTTGTGTCTGCTACCTGATGTACGATGTCAGTCTCCCAGACATAGTCGAATGTTGGCCAAGCATACAGTGCAGCTTCTTCGAGCATGGCCGTCCCGAGGCCTGCTATGACCATTATCCCGGCCCGGGGTTCTAATGCAAACTCCTACCTTGTGGAACTGTCGCCCCCACGAGGCAGTCTTGGTGCAACGGTAGCATTTCAAGTGCAGAGAGAAGAAACGCGCACTCTGCAAACAAGTTGAGATGACCGGCAGAGCCTGAGCATAATAGTGACCGTCTGCATGCTTGTATCGGACGTTCGGGGGGACCGTGTCTTCGACAGAGTTGAACAGATCCTTTCCACGAACGACGTTCTGTTCTCGTCCCTGTACGTGGCATCTTGGACCCCATCGACCCGCCAGCCGGGGGAGTCAAGGGAGTCAGAGACGGTTGCCTTCGGCTTAAATGGTGCGCGGGTTGCTGGCTTTGCAGGAGGATTGCGAGACACCGCCTCTGTTCCTACTGTCAGGGCAGGGCTGTATTCCTTCCTCAGCCGATCGGACTTGGAGCCTCTGTGCGCTGCCGGTGATCGTGTGGTCAAGTGCTGTACGAAGTTTACCGCTGCAGTGTGAATGCAGAACAGAAGAAGAGAACCTGATTTTGCAGGAAGAATATCATCTTCTGGACATCAGTGTTGCAGTTAGCGACGTTCCGAAGTTTTGCTTCCGATGTCGATTTACATTTGCTGATTTGTGAGATGAGTATTCCTTCGCATCCCCCACAATGCTTCCACACACCTGCAGAGAAGAAGACGCCATTCGCTCTGGTTGTCCGCCAGACCCCACGAGCTGCTCCAACGTCAACTATTTTCTTGAGTCAAGATTCGATAAGATTACGCTTTTCTTGTACAGAAACAGCAGTATCTCGTGGAATTCCAGCTACGATCTCTTTCGACATCCACATCAATGTGGAATAAGGTGAACACATCCTTCTTCTTCTGCAGACATTTCTCAGACTCGGGGAACCCGCATCAGGTGCATGAACCATCATCGACATTCTGAAGTCGGGTAGGGGAGGTATCCGTGGATTCTCGAGGCATTGATCCAGGAACTGCTGTACTTTGAAATCCTTCGAAACCTTTGAAAAGACCTCTTCGTCTTGCGGAACCACATTCAGCATGAAGAGCAAATGTGATCGGCTCCATTGAATGTCGTTGAAAGCTTGACTCTGACGGAGGCGTTCGGTTGTAATCGAGCTCATCAATTTGATGACAGCAAAGAGAGTTTTCTGAAGACCCGATTGTTGCTTGTCTGTGAGACTGAAATATGTCTTCTGTTTCTCTAAAGAGATGTGCCTCTTGCTGAAAATCAGATGTTTGATGCAGATGAAGAATTTAGTCCAGGGGCAAACGTAATGTCCCTTTGACTCGTTTGACATCAACCTATCCACATATGTTGACGTTTTGCAGATCTTGCAGATTGCTTTGAGTCTTCCACTTATGTCTTGAAAGATAAATACCTCTTCAAGCTCCTCGTCACAGGATTCATACACTGATCTCGACAGGTTGAGGTGCTTAAAAATGTGATTCTGTAGTGAGGATCGCCAGAAGACCTTTTCTTCAGGATCATCCACGTTGATTCCATCCTCTGAGAAAGATTCGCAAGAATCGTGGCTGTAATTCTGAAGCAAATGTTCAGAATATTCTCCATACAAACTTGACTCGTCTTGTAAGCTTCCTGTCCTGCTACTTTCCGAAGAACCCCCTCCTCGCAGGGCCCTGAGCCAGAGTCTTGATGGTTGTTGGACCTTGTACAAATATGTCCAAGGAGTTGTAGAGTGAGCTATGTTCAGATCATGAGTAGAGGATGGCTTTATATCAGATCTGGAATGCCCTCTGCTCGACCAGGTGGCCAAAAACAAGCACATGAGGCAAGCTCGTTCGATTCTACCTCTCATTCACTTTTTCGGCAAGAGGCCATGTCGTTTACATTCGGATCCTGCAAGAGATAATGCAACGCTTTCATGCAACACTTGCCCGCATCCTCTAATATACCATTCCAAGGACTCGCTCCAGTCTGTACACGACTCGTCAACCTCGTTGCAATCGCCATCACTCATCACCTTGCCGCCCGCGCTATCTCATCATCGTCTTCGACATCAAACTTCGCCTCCTCCTCTTCCCTCTCTTCATGCCTTCTACATCCTCACATGCTGCCATGCAACAGTCGCTTCACGCCATGCCAGCGGCCGATTCACTTCACAGCGAAGGTAAGTGAAGGTATCAGTTAAGTTTGGGGGACAGCAGTCGGCAGGATGAGGGTAGGTTATTGCTGTCTCTACTCTCCTGATTTTCCTCGTACTGGTTTTAACTTAATTTTGAGTAAACTTCACTTCAGTCTGTACCCCAGGTTCCATCACCCTACCCTAGCAATCAGAGCAGTATTGTGAGGAATAAATGGGGTACTGCAACTATCCTTAGGACACCGGTGGTCAACTACATATCGTTCTAGTCGACCGCTTCAGTCGTTACGCATTTCGTTGAAGCCATAACGGACAATGGCGCCGATGCGGCTGACAGTTTTCTTAACCGCGATGTTGGTGGTGGTGACGGCGTCGCATGGCAGAGGAGGAGGAGGAGGCGAAAACTCTGTTGACATGCGAGGAGGAAGAGTTGACGCAGCCCATGGAAGAGGAGGACGGGCTCATGCGCGAAGAGACAGTCTTGAAGTTCCAAACATGGGCCGAGGGCAAAGGGGCGTAGGAGCGCATGAGAAGCGGAGGCAAGCTCGATCCAAGGCACACAGGGGATAGATCGAGCACTGGACTCCGAGCAGGGAAACAAGAACTCTGCAGCCATTCGGTTCCTGGAGCACTCCTGCCCTCTGGCATCACTGGCTTGTGTGTGGTGATCGATGAGGGTACGAGCATGTGCAGTGGTCAGGTGATGATGGAGGTGAAGTTAGCTGGCGACGAAGGAGCTGTCATCTTTAACAAGCCTCTTGACGTGTCCGAGCTCCAGACCTGTGCGACCGCACAGGAGATGCAAGAAGCTCCAATCATCGTCCACACGTGCTCGAACAACGCGAAGATCTGTGTGGACTTCATGAGAGATGGGCAGAACACTCTTGGTGAGCTGTAGGTGGAGGGTGGCGATGATAGCTTGAGGAGCTGATTTCGAACGACATCATCCTTTGCTGCACCGTGTTGTCTCCACACTGCCCACAGAGATTTCTGAAAGATATTGCTGATGTCTGCAACAACATTGCTGGCAGACTGCAATCACTCTTTGTGACTCTTTGTGCAGCAATCAGCCAAGAGTCTGTCTCTGGGTGTCCAACAATCTACGTCGTCGACTGTGCACTGGGCCCCAACGGGAGTTTCCCGCTTCCACCTCTGCCCTTCGAGCTCGAATGTAAACATGATCCTGCTTATTAACGCACGACTGATCTGAGACCGGCAGGCTTCTCTTTCGGCGATGATTGCTCCAAGTATTCAGACTGTGGATCCTGCATCAAGAATGGATGTTAGCATCTCTTTCTGCCAGTGTTGGGAGGATTCAGACGTTCTGTCTCGGTGCAGGTGGCTGGTGCTCAGCTGGGTACTCGAATCAACATTCCTGCAAACCCGGCAATGCTGCTGGCGCGCTGTGCAACGGTAGGAACGCATGGCCCCGATGCGAAGGTCTGAAGTTTTGATTTCAAGACTGCGGGGTTCCAAATTGCAACTGTGACTGGAACTTTGGGAAGTGCCCTGTGCCAGAAGTAGATATGGAGGCAAACGACGCCAAGATGTAAACGAGGCGGCCTACTGCTCCCTGCCCTCTCCTGACACACTTCTCAAGGAACCAGACGATCTGGAAGCTCAACATGACGACTGAAAGGTCCGTGAGTGACGGCGCGTGCCGTGGCCCTGATCTGAATCGTTGCAGCCTCCAGTCGATGAAGTCGGATGTGGTCGACGGACAGCTGGACTTGGATGGCCGGCAGTATGACTGCCTCGCTACATCAACCATCGCGCGCGACTCCTCCTCTCAGACTGCGGTATTTTGCAACAATCCTCTTGCTTTGAGGAGGTCGTGATGCTCGATGCTGCAGATCCTTGTCGTGCTTGCCATCGTCACTGCCCTCGTCGGCGGCTGTGCCGGGTATATGAGCAAGAGGCGATTTATGGTTCGCTGATTTCTGTCCTGCAGAATCGCCTTCGGAAAGGCTGGCTACTGGGATCTTGTTTTTAGGAGAAGGTTTGGATCGGGGGGTGAAGCTGGCAGCTGACGAGTGCGACAGGGGGGATGACGAGGGCCCGATGATATCTAGGGACGCCACAGGCTCCTACGTCCCTCCAGACATCTGATTGAGTTGTCTGACGACCTTTGCAAGAGTTCGGCTTGAATCTTGGTGTGCAACAGAATGTTTCTAGTAGAGATGCCTGAAAGTGAAATGATGGTGCGAGTGGTTTGGGACGGGGCTTCCCTTGCGTCCCCTGCCGCAGCATTTCACTGTGTGAAAGATATTGATAAACAAACGTGAAGCAAAAATTCAGCCGGTTCCCCTCCTCCCTTGGCAGGATCTTTACAGCTTCGCAGAGATGGGCTTGTGGTGCTGGTACCAATGGTTGCAGATGTCGATCCTCCTGCAGATCCAGACCTGTCACTCGTCTCAGCGCCGCACCGCAAGCACCGTCACACCCTTGACCTTCTCCTTGGACTTGATGTAGTCGAGGAACTTGGCGAGACCGAGAGCCCTTCCAGGACGTCCGATGACGCGGCAGTGGAGGCCGACAGACATCATCTTCGGGCTCTACCTCGCGCGGTTACAAGCAAGAAGATAGCAGCATATTTGTCAGACTGACCTTCTCTCCTTCCGCATAGAGGACGTCGAAGGCATCCTGGGGAGGAGGCAGAGGAGTTGAGAAGTATGAGAGGAGGATCAGAGTCTACGAGCACCTTGAGGTAGTTGAAGAAGCGATCTCCCTCCAGTGCTTGAGAAAACCTCATGTCCTGCCATCGGGTTAGAAGCCTCTCCATCTCCCTTCCTCCTCCCCCTCTCCCTTTCCCTCCCCCCGCAGCATCAACCCGTCGACCAGGACACTTCGTGTCGTTGCCTCCTTGCTTGTAACCGCGCGAGGTAGAGCCCGAAGATGATGTCTGTCGGCCTCCACTGCCGCGTCATCGGACGTCCTGGAAGGGCTCTCGGTCTCGCCAAGTTCCTCGACTACATCAAGTCCAAGGAGA